TAAGTTCGATTATGTACATGACATAAAAATAAACTGTGGAGGAAACATGAATTTCTCCGTAAACTCGGCCACACTCCATAAACGGTTTTCTGATTGTTTTATTGTTAGAGCTACGTGAAACCTTCATGGCATGTATTTATGTAAGAGGATCACTTAGTGCGTTCTTTGTACTGTTCACATTGAAACATTCACCTTCGGGACCGCTTGTATCTCTAAAACATGATTCACGAAATTTGAGACTGTAAGTACCGACTTCTGTCTTTTAAGCTTGCACTAAATCTACTCATGTGTGGTTTCTACCTATTCTCACTTTGCATATCCTGCCATTATTGATCTAGCCTGGTTGCAACGTCTGGCTATTTTACAAATTTGGAAGCTGATCTCATCAAAAGCGTGAACTTGGGCGGTGGTGGCCAAGTTGTTAGGTCACCAATTTGTGACNGTGACCCAGAAGTCCCGGGTTGGAACCGCTCCTCGGCCGCCTGTCTTCCCTATTTTTCTAACGCAAAGTTTCTGTAAATCATTAAGTCTCTTCCAGCGTGCCGTAGCTAATAATACCTTCCATTGGTTATCTCGGACTTTCGATGATTCTAACACAATATGATCGGGAGCGACATGAGGATGTATTCACTGCTATCCAGATGTCACATTACCGTAGCCCATACCAGTCTGTCTGCCACTGATTCACCCCTGCTACCAGGTGCCCCGCAGAAGTACAGACCTGAGAAGACTATGAACCGAGATCAAAAGGGGACAGTAGGCTTGTCTCAGTGAGAATTATGATCTGACGGTGAATATTCATTAAAAAGGAGACAATTTGAAGTGATTTCTCATTGCCGTTCGTATCCTTAAAAACAGCACTGATTTTGCATGCAAATGTAGGAATAGTAGAAAAGCTAGAAGGCCCGAATGTTTTGTAGTAATTAGAAGCATAGCGAAAGCCATTTTGATTTTGAAGGAGCTTAACAGATGTTTGGAATTTCAAATTCACGTTCACAAAAACGAAGACTTTGGTGAGTTCCCTCAATAATCAGCAGACTTCGTGTCTCAGTGCACACGGTTACAATCTTGAAATTGCAAGAACACCGTAGAATGAGAACTAACTATACAGTCCACTTGTTACAAGGCTTAGGACAGAAATAAGATATGTTAATAATCGGGCACCAATTCAGATCTGCTCCCAGTGAAATTCTGCATTAGCTCGAGAGAGAAAAAAGACGCATAATCTCATTAGGGACTGAACTTTTCAAGAGATAGTTAGCCGTCCTTTTTGGTCCCTTGAGCATCAATCAAATGGACCCACTAAAATCGCGTGTTCTAAACGTGCACTGTGATCCGACTGCGAATAAAGGCACAGTTGCTTGACAGTCATATGATAAGGTCAGATTTAACAGAAGGCCTAATGGACCCCGAACACCGTTGCGTCATTCTCTGCGTGGCTGGAGAACCTCTATGAAAGTAAACCGCTGTTCCAGATCAAATTAGTCAGTTGATATCCTTCTAAATTAATAGATGACGAAAGAATGATTTTAACAAATCCACATTAAACTGTATAAAAAGAACTTCGTGAAGTAAGCGAGGCTCGAAATAGAGAATACAAATATGCAGCGGAGCATGTTTAACTTCCGGAAGCCTCTCCGCTGCTTCCTATTGTAGAACAAATGTCACAAATCAAGGCGATAATACAGCAAAGATTTATCCATTATCTTATGTTATAATCATCGCCAAGGTAGATTGGAGCACACTACCCTTTTCTGGTGGAATGGGAGCTCCCGAAAATTCACTAAGAATTTCTGAATGAGCCCCGGAATTCAATCATCGATCACTTTAACATTTCCCATCACCAATTGAGGACCAAGCTTTCCCGTTTAGCGAAATGATTACATTCCGTTGACCAACTGAACGCGCTGTATCTTTAGTCGATGTACGAAGGAAGTATTTAGAACTAAGACAAAGCAATGATCGGCCTACAGTGCTACAATTTTTGTCTCGCATCCTTTGTAAAATGCACCATAGTGGAATGGTTAAAGCTTCAGTGATTGCCCCTTAAAACAAGCTTCTTACAGTTCACTTGTGCGACAGTTGTAGGTTGTTTAGAACCCACCCTCGAGTTCGTGAATCACATGCGACAAAACAGGGAGAAAGCATCATTGACGATTTTGATATTCGAATAGAACCACAATACAAGGCTGACAAAGCAGTGAAGATCACACGAGAAAAAGCCGGTATATGGGTCGATCACCTAACTTTCGACTAATGTCATCCAATTTATGTGGTTTCCACGGTTTCCTCGATTCGAGCCAACAATAACTAAATTGTATGATCGTCCAAGTCAATCAAAAATGGTTCGAATAAACCCAAATTGATACGGTATGGCAGGGAAATGTGAAAGTAGAAACACTATCCAGTTTACGTGCAGACGTGATAATATAGGATTGTGTTGTTTTGAATATGGTTAGTCAGTGGTTGGATCCAATCGATCAGTTGGCCGTTACCTGCCACATTGCATCGAAACGGACGAACTTGACCCCATTTACTTCATGTTAAATGATCTGTATCACATAGGAACGTGGATCTAATCGATTTTAGTGTCCGTCAAAGGGCAGTTAGTAAACAAATTTCTATAGAAACATCCTGCATCGCTTGGTACAGGTTTAACCGACATTTACATATGCATGTGAGGCCGGAACAATCGATGGACAACGAAAAATCAGACTTGCCGTGTCCAATCCACTGATTACCTGCTCATTGTGCGTGGAAAACAAGCAACAAGGAAATTTCATGTACTTCGAAAAGTATGTCACTTAGATAAACCCCCATTTCGAAACTCCCAGTGCAGCCAACGCTGGGACGTTTGCTCGATGAATGTGCAATGTAGGAATAATTACCAATCACTATCCGGCTAGCTCAACGAAACAAACGGTATTCCTCTGAACAATGGAGCATAGCATGACTGTTTCCCATCAAATTTTACCAAAAAACCCGAACGCTATGCACCCAAGCACAAATATCACGTTCTAACGTTTTTTGGTGAGACCAAGAAAATAACCACTTAACCGCATCAATCGCTTCACTATTTTGTTGACTCGGATGCAAACATAGGTCCGACACCGTGATGGATAACCAAAAAGCTGGACTTTGTCGGACCGCTACCAAATGACCGAAGAACGTCAGCGGAAGGAAAACCATTCGTTAGCCAATCATCCTACTCTTGAAGACTTGTTGGGTCATAGAGGCACGAAAGCTATAACGCTACCACTGACAAACCCATACAGAAGGTAAATGTGTAGTCCAACTCACTGAACTCCAAGCGGGAAGCTCGAACTTCGTTGTACCGGTCTTCTTTGGATGGCACATTAAACTGCACTGCACCAATTGAAAACACGCTTCATACATTGTATAAATATCAACCTTCCTGGAAACTAGCAAACCTGATTAACTAAAGTCTTCACTCGAGACTATATTTGGGCCAAACAGAAAACTGCAACAGAGATATAGCGCAGCTTATCTTCGCGGGTAACCTTTGAAGCAACAGGCCACTTGATGCAGTATATCCCCGCTTGCTTTTATAAGGGTGTGAGAATAAAATGGATTTGATGAATACGATGAGGAGCATTCTTTAGTCTAGTTTCAATTTTTGACATAGATCGAGTTTTTATTGTACCCCAATTTTGGAAGAACCAGGAGAACATTATTTAGTCGATGTAGTTCTTCCTGACCATGACACCTACTCCTTGTCCGGTGCCTACTTTTAGAACCCGAAAATGCGATTGTTCCTATTTGGGTCTGAAGTTCTTTTAAGAAGGGGATATTGGATGAAAGCACGTGCTAAACCAGCCAGCTTCGCTGTCAACTGATTTCAGTTATCTTCATTTGATGACTCGTTAGAGCAGCTCAAAATGTAATGTCCTCAAAGAACTATTTACAAAGTAAATACTCAAGCCCCACAATTGACCCATAGATCAAAAATATAACAGCTATCTATCTCTTAGATACTTGGGGGGTTAAATTGTGTAGCTGACAGTATAGTGCATTAGAAGCGCTTTTTATGCTGCGTAACTACGTCTACATCCCACCACCCAACAGCACCATTGGAGAACCGCACTTTGACGCCGGCTTACGTATCACATTTATGCTTTGTTTTCCAGTTGAACCGGAACGTAATGTGAATTGTGACAAAACAATCTCGTTGAAAAACTCCTTTCACTTTACCGAGTCTCAGCTGCATGTTTATCTTGTTTAGACAGTGAAACACACGGTTCATTCCGACAAGCGATCGCGTATCGCCTAAAATATGATATGGCTCAAAGCGTTCGATTTACGGGTTCAAATAAGACAAATAAAAAAGACAGCGCTCCGGTATGCATCAATGACAGATATGTCACTAATCACAGATGTTTATTTGTGCCTGAACAAGTCAACCACAGCCCAGTCCGGGTGAATGCACAGAGAAGGGAGCGGAGCAAGAAATGATAATGCAAGGTCATGTAACTGACTATTAGGGAAACGGAAGGTTAGACTTGCGGTCAAGAGGGAGTTCATTCACAGGCAACCAACCAACACATATTTTGTATCAAACGAGAACAATCATACATAGACTTTACTAACCCCAAGATAAACGAAAGAACGAACAGGAATGGGGCGGGAAAACAGTTGTTGGATCAATCCAGGTCGATGTGAAACTACGCACTGTCAAGGATCATGTGGATTACTATCGACAGAATGACCTGGTGGGATGAGAAATGAGTTGGAGAAAAAAGGAATCACACAAGTGAACAAGAACAGACAAATAAAAACAGAGAGAAAAGAGAGGGAAAACACGAAAACAGGAGAGGAAAGCCCGTGTGATACCGAACCGCGATAGATCTACGAGTGTGCAGACAATATAAATGCAACCTATGCTGTGCACCCGAGCATGTAGTGCACTCTGTATGAAACATCAGACAGAAAATGATGGGAAGTAAAACCCAATGGTCACAATCTTATTACATGGTGGTTATTTAAGACGAGGATGTGACAGTGTTAAACGTGATAGGTGGATTAGTAGCCAGTAGAATGCGATGGAACCCAAACAATGGATCGAAATGCTTCTCTTCGACCAGAGAAAAACGGAGTGTGAAAGCAAAAAAGTGTTTTGCCAAAGTGTTCATATATGAAATCAGGTCTAGCTGTTCGAGGTGATGAAAGTGGAATAAGTAGATGTGGATGATGCAAATGAGCAGGTTTTTGCAAATTGAAGTAACATAGACGGGCAGGTCATTTGGGAACGGCTCCCCATTTCGCACGGGAAATATACGTGCAGATTGGATCAAATCGTGGCAAGAAGACAAAGCGCTATCGATTGCCTGACGATCTGAACTAGATGGGGTGTTAGGCGTAGGCTGGTGATGATGGTAGACGCTCATCAGTTTGCTCTTCTTCCCACGGTCCTCATCTAGCACATCGACCGGCGAATGAGAAGATATAACGGAGCCTGGAGCCGTCTGACCCGGGGTGGAATGCGGACAGGTGCACAGTTCGTGAATCGCATCAAATATCGTACTAAGGTTTTCGAACAATGCGATTGTATGCGCTGCTAACCACTCGTTTGTATCCATTGCTGGGAATGGTTCGACCAGGTCGGTGAAATCAACAAATGCAGACTTGTCGGACAGAGTGAGTTGTTGACGGACGTAGTGCTCCTGCGAAAACACCGGCAATAGATCCGGGTCGTTTGCGTCAACATGAACAGAAACAGGTTTTGTGATATTTGGACTCAATTTGCCGAGGGGCGAACTCCGTTGAACAGAGTTGGCAGACATGGGCGAATTGCTAGTAGACACTGACAACTTGCTTACAGGCGATGCGCTACGTCCACCTTCTGCAATAAATATCTCTCTGGCATTAATCATAGCAACTTTAACCTCATTGTCCGAGGTCGGTGAACTGGGTGAGGCAGAAAGGGTGTTATGTGCAGCGACATGAGACGGAGGACTTTGGTAGGCTGGAATGGCCTCCGTGGGTGAGGAAGTAATTATCGAACTACCGGCATTCATCAACCCTTTACTCACACCACGGGCTTTGCCCATAAGCCAATCCATTGTGCAGAATGTCAAAAACAGCACGAATACTCTTTCACAATTGTAAATTCACGCAAACCATAGAAGTGATATCCTCTGAAACATAAGAGCAGATAGAACAGTAAGTGGAAACAGAACGTTACTGAAAGAAGAGGCAAAATTATACACTGATGTTAAGGTGCTAATAGTAAGTTCTGTCCTGGGCAATTTGCTATCCAATATATTCGAAAGCACAGCCCCAAAATGTTTACATCGTATTTACCATTATTTCTGTTAAGGGATCGCCTATTCATGCACTGACTGATCCCGGCAGCTCCAATGGCTACAATTCTGCCCGAGTTGTACGTTCTAACAACGGAAAACTTTAACGACAGTTAACGGTAAGGTCAATCTCACTGTCATGCTGCACCACAGGGTACTATTGTTGTTTCTATATAATAGATAAATACGATGTACGAAACATTTTAAACAAGTGACATTATCCGGCGGTTTAAGTTGTTGCCACCAATTTGCGTAGGGTTCTATGGTTTGAGATTTCAACTCCTCAACTGCCACTGAACTTTGGTGATAAGCAGCTTCATCGTCGTCCTGCACAACCACGCGTAACCTAAAGGGGTTTCGTCGTTTACTACTCTAAGTCACAGGGCTTGCGTAACAAGTTTCCATCAAAGAACGACAAGTCCCTGCCACGATGGGATTTAACTCGTCTGTGGTTCATCACACAAGAGTCCATCACGACGAGACTACAAAGCGACGTGGTGTGATGGCTTGAGTGCATCCATGACCCTGCGAGCTAAAAACGATAGATCCTCACAGACGCAGATCCCATAATGACTGAAAGGTCAACGGGTAAAGGTTGAACGATAAACAGTCTCACAAGGAAAGGGAGATGGGCACCTCCTGGCTTCCTTCATTTATCCACACCCGCCCATCGAGAGAGATCAATGCAGCAAATAAACACGGTGAGGGGCAGTTGACCGGTCAAAAAACCCCGCTA